GGTTTACATATTACTCCTTTATTCTCTTGCCCGGATAATATAGAAGCAGTTTTCCAAAAATCCAATGCATTTTGTTACCTTTAAATCTCATTATAGAGACTTAAAGGTAAGAAATTTAGAGAAATGTATTTTTGTCCTAGTTATACCTTCAATTAACAGTCTTCACCTTCCATTTAAAAACCCTTTCTCGCTGATGTGTGGGGGGCTTAATTTAGCTGTGTACCTTTAAGGCCACGCCCTCTTGGACACCACATGCATGCTACCAGGAAAAGGTGAACTTACAAACAATGTTTCTTTTGTGAGGACAGCAGGTTGGGTACATTCAAGCTGCAAAACTGAGTATTCACTAGACAAGAAAACAGCTGCTTCTTGTGTTATTGTTAAAAACAATACAAAGAGGAGATGAACACATGCATACATTTGCATGCCTTTGAGTAAAGCTCTCCTGGGTGAACACTTTATTCACAGGAGGGGAAGCAGTACCCTGCTAACAATAATTCAACAGGACTTGGAGGAATATTTCAGGCCTCTTGGAGCCACTGAATCACTTTCATTTGCTTCATGTGAGCCATCTTTGTGCGATGTATTGGGCTTGTTTCCAATAGTATGCGATTTGTCAGCTCTAATTAATCTTTAACCCAGAGGGTGCTCTGCAGCTCACAGCCTAATATGTCTGGTCTCCTTGGTAGAATGGAGACGGCTGATTTCCTACAGCTCCCTGGGTATGGTGTGGTTGGCCAGGAGCGTGCTGCGAGGCCCTGACAGCAAGACAGTGCTGGACCAAAGCTGCAGGAAGCTGGTAAGATTTGCTAATGATTGTTGCCTTGGCTGCCATGCAGGGAATTCTCCTGAGCAGCATAGCATTTAATACTCCATTGCTCTAGGAGAATTTGCTGGCTGTTTGTTCAGTCCCAAGCCAGAATGACTGACTCTTACACTGTGATGCTGTGTCTGGGTATTTAATGCTGGTTTTAAGAAGTAACACAGGAATACTTGAAGTGAAAAGGTTTGCTTTATGAATTCAACAACAGTTAGACAGCCATGTTTTCTTTTATAAAACAAGGCAAACAGGAACCCTGAACATTTATGTTTTAATGTTGCTCACATACATAGCCTTTTAACTTTTTTACTTTTTCTAGCACTGTTGTCAAATTATAACCAAATACACGTGTTCTATTTGAACTATGTAGGGTAAATAATGTCAAAGTATCTAAAGTAGCAGGGAAATTACAGTTTTCAGAAATGTGTTTAAAGGAGTCTGATTAGTAAGGCCTTCCTCAGCCCATACTACAACCATCCCCTGCTGCAGTTCAAGTTATGTTGGATGGAGACCATCTGTGAATATCAATCTTCAAGACATGTCACAGTTTCTTAGTGGGATTTAGGTCTGGGCTTGACTTGGCCAGTCTACCATATGATTACGTGTTTTTTTCTAGAAATTTGTAAATGTCTTTTAGTCCTGCCCCAGGACTTTAAGGAAGAAGGGCCCTCGGCTGTTTAGTATACTGTCTGCAAATTATGGTTAAATCCACTTGTTTATCCCATCATTCTATGACCCTCATTTGAGCTATCTCTGGTCTTTTTATAGATTGTTTGAAATGAATGGGCAGACACAAGCTGCCAGCAGCAAATAGCCAAAAACTCCTACAAAGATTTAATTTAAAATATTCAAAACATTCTTCTTTAAGTTACATGTATAAACGGATTAAAAACAACAAAACTCCAACAAAGTATTTATTGAAACTACCTTTAAAATCTTTATCAGGTAAGTCTCTTTGAGAGTAAAATATGCAAAAATGAGGGAAGGCTTTTGTAGAGTGCTGTACTTTCACAAATTACCTGTCATGGTTAAAGACAAGACTCTGGTACAAGCAGCAATTACTGACACAGTGGTGCAAGTTCAGAAAAGGATTTATTGTGTAAGCAAAGAAAATGGTGTCCTGTAGGTTTTGTGACCAGGTTCCAGGATGGAACGAGGACGAGATGTAGGTGGTTAGATATAATTATGGGGAGGATGAGTAATCGGCTGAAATTAGGTGAGCAGGGTTTACTGATGCAAAGATAGGAGGAACTGGAGAACATGAATTTATCCACAGAGCTGAGAATGAGGGGTTCAGTGTGTGATGATCAAGTGATGTTTTGTCATTATTTAGAGAGGGGGAATAATGAAAGTACTTGCATAGGTGAGCAGGCAGGTGAGTGAAACGGAAGCAAGGTAAGGGTTCCGATCGGACCTTGAAAGATGAGTGACAAAGAGGTCAGGGTTTGGGGTTTCCACCTAGATGCTGGGAACCAGAAATTTACAGTTTGATTCAAGGGAGACTGGGCTTTTATGAGCAAGGAAGACAAAAGGATGAGAGTCTGATTACCGCTCATGTGAGCTAAACAATCTAATGTTTGTGTCAGAAAACGAACTCCTCCTCCTGATGAGCCTTAATGAGTTACAGCTGCAGAGCTCGTACCTGCCAGTCACACCCTGAAAATTAAGGATGAGGAGAAAAACATAAGAACTGAACACAGCTCTATGGATGCAACATTTCAATGAGAAGAGACAATAGGTTTATGTCCTCCTTTCTGTTAAGAAGTCTAAAAGTTCATGATATATGTGTGTGACGATAACTCCCAATAAGATCAAAAATTAGACCAGACCTAAATTACTTGATTCTGATGGTTTTGAGTTTTTTTTCTCCCTGTCTTTAATGTTCAATTGAAGCAGACTTTTGCAGGAAGAATCCCAGGGTTTTATTTACATCATGATCACATGATGACACCAGCAACTATGAGCTGCTCCTCTGTATTTGGGCACTGTGTATGAAGCTTCAAAAAAAGCTGAGAGGTTTTGTTTGGTTATGTCACATAAATATGACGTATGGCATGGATTGGATTTAACTGTTAGCTGCCAACACCTGCTTTCAGTCTGTGCTTATTTTTTTTTTTAAATATCTATTTTTCCCTTTTTTTTCATTTCAGAAAAGTCGGCAAAGCTGCCAAGTTGAGCACAAGCTGAGAGAAGAACTGCAGGCAAATTCTCTTTTCAACACTTTCAGATACTGTCACAACTTCTCTGCTTTCTTTATGGAATACTAGACTCCATGCATGTTTCTTGATGTAATTTGCTTTATTTTAACAGACTTTAAGTTCAGCACAGAGGAACATGAAGTAGATCATTAAGGGATTGCACCGATTTTAGTTCTATAGAAGTACAATTAGAAATGTTTAGCAAACTTATTAGACAATGGAAAATTGCATGTCAGAAAATGTTGTTTTAGTTCTAATTAAAAACGACTAGAGACAAATAAGTCTAATTTGTTATTGTGTCTTTGTGTTCTTCTGATTACTTGTATAATCAAGTATACAGTTTGGCAAAAAGCATTAAATCTGGACCACAAAATTTGTTTTAATTGAGAACTGAGTTAACATCTCTGTGCTTCTTACTGTTTTAAGCTGGCTATGATACAGTTGCACACAATATGTGGATTTATTTTGTACTATATTTGATTGGTTTTGCATTTTGGGGGATTTTATGTGATAGACCAATACACAACTTTTAACAGTTTAACTTTTTGTCAAGTTCTCTTTCAACAAAAATGCAGATTAGAAAAAGTGCATCTGTGGACAGCAACCCAATTAGGATCTGAACTTCAGTGATCATTCTGAAGGAGAAAAAATATCTGACCAGAACATTTTTATTATTTTTATTTTTTTATATTTTATTATTTTGATTGCTTAGAATTTTTCCTCATTTGGAACATCTGTATTTATACTAAGATTAGATACAATTAAACTGTAAAGGTTTTATCTTAGGGGTGCCACTATAACCTACAAATTTAAAAGGTTAAAAAGGGCATCTCTCATTTAGTTTTTTTCCTAATTTATTAAGCAAAAGTATACAGAAATATCTAGAAAAAAAAAAACTCTAAATAATAACAAAAAGCTGCTGATAGAAACAATGTTTTATATTATCCCCATAGTTTCATTTTTTGTACAATATTGGCATTCCCTCCTTGAGATAAGCAACTAAATAAGAAGGTATGCCCAAATTTTTGACTGTTGTTGTAAAAGCATGCCACACTTTTCTTCAGCATGTACTTCTTAGTGTCGATCACATAACATCTAGATATAATCCACTCAAATGTGTGGCTTTAGCATTAAACAATATGAAATGGTGTGGCATGAATAATTTTGCAGGAGTACTCCCCTTTTCTTTTTTTCTTTTTTCTCGTTTCTCTGCTGAGGGATACTTTGCTATGAATCTTTTGCCTCGGGTGTTTTCTGACAATGAGTTTTGCAGCTTCCCACCTAAGAAAATTCTTTCTCTGCCAGTCTACAGTAATTGCTGATGCACTATAGCTTCCCAGTGTCCCACACAAGTCGTTTAACGGGTGATTTTCTACAGGATATCCATAGTGAACGCCCATCTTTGTTCGCTGGACTCTGTACAATATTGTACTCCGTTCTGACCATTGACTCTAGAGCCATGCAGGCGGTCTGTAGGAGCGCGGCGCTGTCCATGGTGCTGGAATCAGCAGCTTTTGATTCGTATAGATGCAACAGAATTAGACGCTGCTGGCTGTTATTTACCCTTATAAAGAACAAGATTTGTTTTAAAATACAAAGAGGGGGGGAGAGGAAATGCGATAGAGCTGGTTTCGTCTGACGGTACAGTAAAAGCCAATACGTGAAAGTCCCCTCACTCTAGATGGGTAAATTCAAAGCAGAAGCTGCTTGTCCTCGCTTTGGTGGCGCAGTGTTTGACTTCAAATGTCATTTAAATTGGATAAGAAGAAAAGAAGGATAAGGAGTAAATTCTGTGACTGTGAGTGACTGTCTTGGGGACGAATTGCAGCATGTGAGCCAGGAGAGACGCGCGACGCTGAGAGCCAATAGCGTCGAAGAGCTGCCGTACGCAAAGAGTGCGGATGGGAAGCTACTCCGGGTATACCTCCGCGTCTAACGCATGGTCGTGTGTAGGTTGAATGGGATAAGAAGGGCGAGTGCGGAGCGATATAGAGACGTGCTGTGATGCGGCTTGCATATATTCTCAGACAGGACTAGCTTCTTTTAAAGACGACCTCCTCCATCGCGTCGCTTTCCATTCCAGTAATGTGGCGTATCTGTGTGGCGCACCTGTAAAGAGCGAGACACGGGACAGAAAGCCGGGCTCTTTTTTTGTTTGATTATTTGATTCCTTTTTCTTTCTTCTGTTGTCTTTGTTTTATTTTATTATTTTTTTTATCTTTTCCCCCCTCTCCCTTTCTCCTCCTCCCTTTTACCTTTTTTTTAAATTTATTTCATGCCTTTACTGAACAGAAACCATTCCTGTGTTTTGATTTAATAAACATTTTAATTTCCTCATTTTATATTGTTTGTGTTGGCTTTTTTTTTACGTTTTAAAGTTTGAACTTTAAAAAAAAAAGCAAGAGAGAAAGAGGGCGCGGAATCCACATCATTTGATCAGGTGTTTCATTCAGAGACTATTTGCCCCCCCAAGGACGTCTCTAACTTTCCTTTATAGAAACGGTAAGATCTTTTCCTGCACATTTGCATTTTGAAATCGAGGTAAAGAAATAGTCTGTTTCGGTGCTCCTTCTAGTGTGCAGAGCAGATCCTCTTATTGCATGAGATGTGATGTGTAGGAAAGTGACTGTGGTGCATTCATGTGACGCTCCATCCTCAACTGTAAACTATGGAGCATGCAGGTAGTCAATGAGGGACATGCAGTAAAGTTATTTTTCCTCTCTTGTGCAGAGTTCTGAAACATGCAAACATTTTAGAATGGAGTTGCTACAAAAAACATGTTTTAAAACATGCAAATAGTTTAATTTTAGAGTCCTTTCTTAAATGCAAAAAAACTTATTTTATCTGTTATGGTGTTTGACTAATATTTTTCATAACTTTATTTTAAAAAATGACCAAAAACAATTGTCACTGCTGATAGGGACAATGCTGTGTAGGTTGTAATCGGTGCAGCCTGCATGTAGTGCTGGTGGATGAAGTTCTTGTTTTCATTTGCACTTTTTCCTATACTATATAAGAATTTCCATGCATGGATGACGGCAAGTCAACGCTATTTTTGGAATGCAAAACAAAAAAAACAAAAAAATCTCTCTGGCTACTTCCTTTGCGTTCCATCTGTATTATTTGAAGATTATCCACATCAGCAGCAATATCTTAGAAGTACTCGTGTCTAGTGTTTGATGATGCACAATTGTTGGCCAATGCATCAAGCTAATCGATTTTATATCCTTGGTAATGCATTTTAATAAAGAGCTCATTTGCTTATTATTAGGAGAGGAATTAATGATAGGCTAATCGTAAAATGCCAGAGTTGTTTCAGACCAAGTCATTTCTTATGTCGAACGTTTTACCCATAGATACGATATAGATAACTGACACAGCTTAAAAATGTATGTATACATTTACAGACTGCTTAGCTAAGTGGAGTGAACCATTATTAATTGGAAATAATGCAGCCATTTTTGGCTTTTACTTAACAATATTTAGTTACTTTAACACAATTCATGTTAGCAGGGTAGGGCGTTAAAGTAGCTAAATATTATTAAGTAAATGTCCAAAGTGGTTGCATTATTTTTTTTTCAGTGCACCATGCAGGTGTTGCATAAAGTAAAACAAAAAGTAAAGTTTAGACAAACATATAACAGGCACTTAAACCTCTTTTTGTATTTACATTTCCCATTTTACAAGTTACTACTATGTGGAACTTGGCTGCCAGATGTTATTTTTGTGTCTGTTTTTCACAGGATATCCACAGAAGGGCAGTATAGAACAGTCTGAAATTAGTTTGAAGCCAAAACTTCTTTGTAACTGGGTTTATTTTACTTGCATTTTTTATGCTAAGCATATGGATACTATGCAATATTCCATTGGGAAGAATTAATTTTTTTTTAGGCTTAATATGTTAATTTTAGAAACAAAAAAAATCTGAAAAACTGTTCAATCATTAATCTGAATCTGTAAGCTAAACTTTAGAAATAATTGTCTTTATTCCATTGAATGCGCCGCAAACAAAGCATGCAGCTGCAGCTCATCATGCAGTTATGGGAACACGCAGCCTTGCCTTCTGATTGGTCGACGCTCTGATTAGTTTATTTAGTGCATGCGCGTTCCCGCCACCGCCCCCATATGCTTCCCGAAGACCGTGGCCAAGCGTTTGTCTGCAGGGACTTCATTATAAACGAGGTTCGCCGGTTCAACACCTCGAGGTAAGACTTTGTTAAACTGTAGAAAGGACCGGTCACTGTGTGTGGTCGGTAGGTCGGTTTCACCGTATGGCAAAAGGAAGACGTTTCAGTAGCTAGCAGGCAGCTAGCTACTTGTTTCTGCTGCCCATGATAAAACGTTTGTTTTTATAAGGCCACTCGGAAAAATTAGATGCTTTTGTAAATGCGACCTGTTTCAAACGTACACATTAGAAGCCCCAGACCTGTCCGAACAGTTTTCTATTTTTTTTTCTTAACTATATAGTAGAAATGGGGTGCTAATAGCTTTAAGTAGCGGTGCGGCTAACTTTAGCCATGCTAGAAACGGCATATAAAGGTGCCATTTTCAGGATATTTAAACTCATTTTCCCTAATTTTCTTTATTCCAGTCAGTTCAATCTTAAACCAACCCGGTAATTTGGCTACAGGAGCACAGCTGCAACTCCTTAATTAAACATGGTGGCTTCACTTGACTCTATTTTTAAGGAAGATTAGAGCCACTGAAAAAATAAGTTAACTGATATTTAAATATTTCAGTTTAATATGGGAAAAAAGTCAGAATTCTGACAGCTAACAAACATGTTCGCATCAAGCTGCAGCCATGTCTGTTTTAGAGATTAGCTCTCTTGTTTTAATCACCTTCTGCTCTTCCATAATTGAAAAGGCATCACCAGGGACCCTTTGGGCATGTAAAAAGTTGCCTAACTGCGTCATTTTTAATTTTTACTGGCCCTCTCAAACAACTCGCATCTTTGTCAGTGAAGCTGGGTGCTCCCACATCTCTTCCTTCCTGGTGCATCTACATTAAGATCCACAATTCTGAGATTAAAGTCAAGAATTCAGACTTTTTTTTTTCTCATACTGAAGTAACGTTTTAACATTGATTAACTTTTTTTTTTTTTTTTTTTTTTCCCAGTGGCCCTAATCATCTGTACTTTTTCAAATATGGTGTATACATGTTTTTTTTTTCTTTTTTCTCAATTTATCTTTTTTTATGGTGTTACTGCACTGTTCCCCACAATACTGGTTGTATCAAAACACATGATTTTGTCCTATAGATTATTTCTACGTATCGTAATTTGGTTTTGTACTAATGGAGAGCCATTTAATATTTGACCTTTAGAAATAGGTGACAGTTACTGTTGTGATATTACAGCTCATTAAGCTCAGTTACATATTGGGTACTTTCATTGGTCAAGTTTGGGCATCAACTCTCTAAATGGAGAATATAATATTGTGATTATCATTTAAAAACCACAACCAACAAATTTAACTTGCAGACTGTCACCTCTGCCATAGTAATATATTAGTTTTATAACATTGTCTGGGTAAATACTTGATTCTGATTGGCTGCAGCGTGTGAAGCATTAAAGCAACCTTATATTTCAGAAAATAAAAAGTCTTGTAAAATGGTCTGAATTACGGCACTGGTTCACTTTTGCAGACCAAGCTACATGTTACCTGACCCGAGCAGATTACACATCACAAGTAATTAAATGGCCAGTAGAGAGGAAAAACTTTTACATTTTTTAAAGGATAAACGCATTGATTTTAATATTTAAGTGATCAACATAAAAGCAGGATGCGGTGTTCATTAATCAGAAATGGACTTCATGGGAGCAACCCTCCTGTTTGCGAAGGGCAGTTCACGCCTCCAAATCATCCATTTATTTCTAATAATGAACACCTAATCCTGCTTCTATCTTTGTGACTTAAGAAATCATTAAAATAAATGCGTTTTTTGCTTGGAAGTTTGTCAAAGTCTACATTTGGTGTAAACTTTATGACCCATCATTGTGGTTTAAGCCAACCTAATTAATCCATATTAGATTTTTTTTCTATTGTACCCAATGGACCATGATGGGGCATCTTAAAAGCCTGAGCTCCAAAATAACCTATTAAAAATATCAAGGTCTTGCATCGAAGTTGGAGAAATTGCAGAGTTGCATCATACATTTTTTATTTATTTTTTTTTACGGTAAAAGTTAAGTAAAGATAATGTATCATATTGGTAAGTATTAGTAAATAGATACTTGAACACCAGAAAGTTACTGTGTTGTTTAAAACAAAAAGTGTTCAATTAAAAAGGTTTTTCTAACCCAAAAGTTAAAAAACCCACAACTTGACCTGAATACACAGTATGATGTTCTAAACTGGTTCTTACTCCTTGATTCTCATTATTATTATTTATTTTTTTATGAAAAGCAATTTTTCAGTGGGCTTTGTGAATAGGCACATTAATTCACTATGTAGCTTAAGACGGACATGCCCAAAGTTGGTCCCCAAGGGCTGCTGCCTGCAGGTTTTAGGTTTCCTTGCTCCTGCACAACTGATTCTGATTGATTGCTGATTGATGACAGGCTTATGTTGAACTGCAATTATCATAATCAGCTGTGCTAAAACAAGGAAACCCCTAAAGCTTGCAGGACAGCAGCCCTTTAGGACCAGCTTTGGGTATGCCTGGCTTAAGGCAAGAGTGGAATTTAGTAACCCGTTTGTGTGTTTTGTGGCTTGAAAGGGGAACAAAAGGAGAGGAAGAACACAAGCAATCAGATTGAGGGAATTTGAGGTTTGATTGGATGACATGCATACCAGTTAAATATATTCCTTTGGACTCTGTGCTAATAAAGCCTTAAACCCATCATCCATTGTTGAAAAAAAACGTACAAATAAACTCAGTAAGACTGGACTATAATACAGAGGACCCCAGATTTAGTCGTAGTTATCATTAAATGTATTTTTTATTGAGGTTTGTCAGATTGATTAATGTGAGACATGCCTGCAAAGACTTAAACCAATTAAGACAAAATGTGTCTCCGTAATTTTGCATTCTTCCTCTAAGTCAGATAATGTCACCAAGTGGGGTCAATTAACTAAATGCTGGCTGCACTAAACAATTGTTTGCTGGTTTTGTACCACTTGAAAAATCAGCAAATGATATAGGGGAGAGAAAATTACAGCTTAGTTTTACAGAACCACATTTGAAACGGGTTTGAGCTCCTACAGTGTTAGCAGTGAGTTGGACAACTGGTAGATTAATGTCCCTGAATACTGAGTGTTTTGGTGCATGAGGCTTTTTTTCAGTTATTTAAATAATGTACTCTCTCATTTTTCTTTATTTTTTAGCAGCAATGGTTTGCCTTTTATTGCCCCCTTGTCCCTTTTAATATTTAAAATCATAATAGCTAAGATTTAGTTTCTTGCAGGATAACCATTAAAAATAGTTTTTGGTTGTAGGTTCTGGCCTTTGTGTTTTAAAAATTGTTGTAACCACATTTGATCATTTTTGGGTTGCTGATA